AAAAAAAGACCAGGCTCTAACCTACTGGAATGGTTCAGAGTAACTATGTTCTTTACTAGTCCCCAAGACCATTCTAATGTATACTGAAGTTTGAAAATCACCACTCCATGTCAAGATGTTTCAAAATATTAGTCAACTGATGGTTATGAGAGTTTCCTGACTTCGGAGTAGTCCTCTGAGTTGAGTCCTTTTGTCAATTCTTTGTGTATGCATGTGTAAATTTGTGTGGTATATGTATACCTGCATGTTTGTTTGTAGATGCATATATCTGTACACACAGAAGAAGGCTAGAAGATGTTGGGTGTTATGCTCTGTCACTCTCTGCTTTATTCCCTTGAGACAAGGTATCTCACTGAACCTGGAGCTAGGCTATAGGCCAGTAAGCCCCAGAGAGCCTCCTGTCAGCACCACCCACAATCCTGGGGTTATAAAGTCTGTATTGTTGTACCAGGTTTTCTACATGATGTGGGTACAGGGACTTGAACTTGGGACTCATGCTTCAACAGAAAGCTCTTACCCACTGAGCAATCTCCCCAGGCCCCTTTCTTTAATTCTTATTAACAAATGATTCTTTAAGGGACTGACTCATTCTTTTATTCATTTTTTGATTTTTTTTCTTTTTTTTTTTGAGCTAGGATACAATTGAGTTATTAAAGATTGTAGTTGATATTTATAAATAAAACTTTGCATATTCATTTGAGATTCTTTAAAGAATACCTCTGCTAATAAGTTTGGTTGCTGTGCACCATTTGGCAGCATTTTAAAGCTTACTACAAATACCCAGATAATTGGATCTTCCTGTGAGAAATGAGATTATTTGTCTTCAGTGCAGCCGTCACAGCTCTGTCTTGGGATGACTGTTGTCCTATGCAGTCAGCATTCACTTCCAAATTTTTCTGCATCAGCCCGAGGAATCCAAAGCTGAAAGCTCTTTCCCAGCCTTCTTTGGTTTGGGGAGTAATTAAGTTCCACCAGAAAGGGGTACTATGTAAAATCTGGTAGGCAGATAGCAATTCTCCTCCAACAGAAGGGGTCAGAGAGGTGCTTTGTGAGACATTGGTCTTGTGTCCCTAGGTTTGGAACAGCTATGACATGGATATACTTTTCTGTACTTCCTGGTCATAGGGCCATAGTTGCAGTGCTGCAGTTTGGAAACCTGGGAACAGCCTCCTTTACTTCTTATCTAGCTCTTCCAAAGACTAAGCACTGACTTCCTACATTTAATACTCATCTACTTGAAATACTTAGAAAGATCTCGTTTTCATATATTGAACTTAAATGTTCTGTCCATGTCTGAGTTATGTTCTGCTTATATTTATGAACATAAAGAATAATCAGTAATTATTCTTTTCTTGTATAGTTGTTTTGCTGTTTAAGACTATTATTTTGAATACCATCATTTTGATATCACCAAGTGATTTTTTTCCATTGGAAAAAAGTGATTGTGAATGTATCAAGAAGCTGTGATATTTTAAAACATTTCATGATATCTAATCAGAAAATTGTGAGAACTACTAATCTTACTAAATTCCATTTCAGCTGAAGTGGCCTATTTGCTGTGCACAGCCCACATCACCTCTTGCACTGAATGAATGCCAGCTCCACTGTTCCCAATATGTAAATCCCATTTAACCAGAGAACCAGCTGTATGCCTCACTTCTTTATGATAAAGTCTAGAAAGATATGACCCATCTTCTCAGTTAAAGTCTTTGAAGGTAGACACAGCTACAATGCTCTACAACTCTGTTTGAGATAAGGACTTGCTCTCTAGCTCAGGCTGCCTGAAATTCACAATGTAGCTCAGAGTGGCCTTGACCTTATCGCAATCCTCCTGCCTCAGCCTCCAAAATACTGAGATTATGGGCATAAGCCAGTATACCTGGACCTTACCAGGCTTTATGGCACATTTAATAACATATTTAATAAGAGTCTACTGAGGATCTTAATCAGAGCTTAGAGCTGACATCCCAAGTCATTGCTTTAAGTCTAGTGAGAATGTTATTTAGAGTCCTATGCTCAAATTTTAGCAATTAAACTAAAGCATAAAATAAGAGCTCACAGAAAACATTTTTTAAAAAGGATTAAAAATATGGAAAATGCACTTAAACTGTTGGCTGAGTAAAGTCATGCCTGTTTTTAAATGTAATGGAAAAGGTCCATAACTAATGCATACATAAGGACAATTTCCTGCTCTAAATTCTGTTTCTTTGGCTCTTTGCTGATCTCTCATTATAGTTGTTAAATTCATTACTCCCGTCAAGGTTCCTATCTCATGCCCAGCATCCAAGACAGTCCCTTAAAGGCTCTCAAAGTTTCGCTGAATAGATAATTCTGAGTGTTCCTTTACAATTTCAGTTCAGAAAACAAAATGGCATCCTTTTATCCACTTTACAAATGTGTCCATATTACTTTGGAGATTCTGTTTGTTCTGTGGAACTGTCTCATTCCCAGGGATGGAGATGCTTGGGCATCTTCCCATCTTCCTAACCACACCCCTCAACTGCTCTTTCTTTCCCTGCTGCTGGGTTTTTTTTTTTTTTTTTTTTTCTGTCTTTTTGAGACAGGGACTCCCTATAGTCCAGGTGGCCTGGAGCTCACTATGTAGACCAGGCTGCCCCCGCCTCTGCCTCCTGGGTGCTGGGATTAAAGTCATGCATCACCACGTCTAGCTCTCACTGCTGTTCTTACATGCCCCTTTCACCCGTGATCTTCTTCATAGTCCATACCCACTAAAATCTCCATGTCCCCTCCTAACCATTGATAGTTATGACAAACTGTTCTCTCCCATCTCCATTTCATGGAGACTACAATGGTGGGAATGGCCCATTAACTGTTACACCATAGCATGACTTCTTAGTTCTCAGCCTACCTGACCTTTCCACAGCCTGTGTCCTTGCTGACCACTTTTTCTTTCTTGAAATATGCCCCAGCCTTGACTTTTCATCCCACTTGTTTCTCCTAGAATTCCCTCTTTATCTTTCTGGCTACTTCAATTTTTGCCAGTTCTTACTCTGTCATATGAAATATAACCACAGCAAAGGTTGGTAAGAAGTCTACATACAAAGGAGGACAGAGGGGCAGCACATTGAGAGAGAAGCTGGATAAGCTGGCTGGCACAGTTGTTATAGACTAGACACCAAACCTGGGACTTCTAATAGGGCATTGCTTAAAGACTGAAAAAACCATGGCCTATGGTAAAGGGTTAAACACATCCAGGCATTTGGATGATGAAAGAAAGCCTGAAATGATCTGAATACAAGTGTGCTCACCACTGTTCCGGAGAGGGGGTTATAGAAGCGCTCGAGCAGTTGGATCACCGTGCTCTTCCCGCAGCCACTGCTGCCCACCAGGGCCAACGTCTGGCCCTTCTTCACCTCGAGGCTCAGTCCCTGAAGCACTGGGATGTTAGGTCGGGTGGGATAGTTGAACACAATTCCATTAAATGCCACATTTCCTTCCAGCATATCCTAAAATGAGAAGAGTAACATTTAGCTTGATTGCAACAATACTGAAAACACAGGGTAGAGGCAACTCAGTGTTGGGTCTCAGAAGAAAAAACTCCAACTGCAGTTATGCTTCATTTCAAATAACTATAATCTAATAGGATATAAAAGATGCTATTGATTTTCCAGCATGAATTATCAAGACAACACAAATGTACAATATAAACATAAATATGTTCTCCTAATATAACCTCATAGAGGGAAGTCTGATGAGTTGAATTTCCATACACAGTGGACAGTACTTTATCTCCTTGTAATTTTGTTCTATAAAAGTAGTAAATGTTAGGCTTTGGAGAGATGGAACACTGGTTGCTCTTGCAGAGAACCTGGGATCTTATGCCCTTCACTGGCCCCCACAGGCAAGACATGGGTGCATTTACATACAGACAGGCAAAATAATCAAACACATAACAATAAAAATAAATTTAAATTTTTTTAAAGTAGAATTTTTTTTTTTTTTTTGTCTTTTTGAGACAGGGTCTCCCTGTAGCTTCAACTAGAGCTCACTGTGTAGACCAGGCTATCCTTGAACACACAGCAATCCACCTGCTTCTGCCTCCTGAGTGCCCCACCACGCCCAGCTCCAAAGTAGAAAATTTTTGTTGCTTTTTTTTTTTTTTTAATCTTTTTGAGACAGGGTCTCCCTGTAGCCCCAGTAGGCCTGAAACTGGCTGTGTAGACCAGGTTGGCTAGCTTTGATCTCACAGTGATCTGCCTGTCTCTGCCTCCCAAGTGCTGGGATTAAAGGCACTACCATGCCTAGTCCTAAAGTTGTAATTATTTATACACAGTAATAACATTTATCCAAATAAACTCATGGTCCAGATCTTATCAGCATATAAACATTTTTACTAAAGCATAAATATTAACTGAATTTCTGTTAAGGAGTCAGGAGCAGATCATACACTGAAAACATCAAACTCACAGGCTTTAGGCCTTCCGTGCTGTAGCTGTCAATCTCGGGGACCTTTTCAATGATCATGATGATGTGCGATGCCGACACTTTAGCTTTGGCATAGTCAGGAGCAAACGAACTGACCTGCCCAACTGCCATGGCACCAAAGACAATAGCTGAGAAGACCCTGGAAAATGAAAGACAAGGTTTTCATATTGGTATAGCCACAATGCTAACAAGCGGCATTTCCACAACCAAGAAGTAATGATAAAGTCCCTTTCTCTATTTGTTCATGTCAACATGACAGACTGATTACAAAATGGTCCTTTTTTTCACCTGTCCTGGCATCCTCAGCTTCTTAGAACATGACCTTTGCTTAACTTCCATATAAGAAGTAGAAGTTTATTTTCCACTTTCTGAATCTGGGATGGCCTTGTGACATTCTTTAGCTCACAGGATGTGGTAGAAATCACTGCTCCCAGTTTCAAACCTATGACTCAGTCCATGCTTTGTTCCTTTAGTCTTCCCCTCTCACTTTGGCCAATTAGCCTGTAATTCACTGCAGACAACAGTGATCACAACAGAGACTTGCCCAACCCTTTAAGGAGAACTGACCCATAGACTTTGGACAAAATAAATGTTTATAGTTCTCTGTCAGTGGAGTTTAGTGGTTGATCACTACACAGCTTAACTATGGCAATCATCAATATTTGCATTGCTGACAGCAGATTCTTAGAAAACATGTGAGTTGTGCAATAAAGAGTTTCTTAAATACACAAATGTGATGCTTCTTTCAAGAGGTAAATGCATTCTTAATCTATGAGACAGCACTCACACATATTAGCAGCATATGAAAATCTTAGAATAAGGCAATAAGTCATAAAATTATTCAATCAATGCCCCAATCTCAGTGATAACTGACTTTGATCTTTGGTTATAATCACAAAGATCACTTACATACCCATTGTCAGGCCTGTAGGCTAGAAGGTGGAAAATTTAAATCTTAAGTCAACTATAATGATGCATGAACAAATCAATGCCTAAATAGGACAGAAATGAAGCATCAACATATTGCAATGTCAGGTCAGGCTTATCTCATTTTGGTTGCAATGCACAACTATATCAGTACTAATTATGTTGTGCTATTAAAAGGAAAGAGTCAGAACCGGGTGTGGTGGCGCACGCCTGTAGTCCCAGCAGTTGGGAGGCAGAGGCAGGTGGATCTCTGTGAGTTCAAGGCCAGCCTGGTCTACATAGAGAGTTCCAGGACAGCTGGGGCTACAGGGAGACCCTACTTCAAAACACAGGAAAAAAAAAAAAAAAAGGAGTCTTGCCTGCCACCAAACTTAGAAGCTCAGAAAGCTCATACACACTCTGGACAACTAATTGCATATTTGGGGACTCAAGTAGTATCCCTTCATTCAGGTTCGTCTTCCCATGACCAAAGCATGTTTTTTTTGGGTTTTTTTTTTTTTTTGGTCTTTGTGAGATAGGGTCTCCCTATAGCCCCAGCTGTCCTGGAACTCACTATGTAGACCAGGCTGGCTTTGAACTCAGTGCTGGGATTAAAGGCATGTGCCACCACGCCCGGCATAAGCACAATTTTTAAAAAATTATTTTTATTTTAGGTGTATGAGTATATTGCCTGTGTGTATGTAAACACATCCATGTCATGCAATGCCCACTGAGGTCAGAACAAGGTTTTGGATCCCCTGGAGCTGGAGTTACCGACGGTTGTTAGCCGCCATGTGGGTGGCTGGGAATTGAACCCAGGTCCTCAGCAAAAGCAGTCAGTGCTCTTAAGCACTAAGCCATCTCTCCAGACCCCAAAGTACAATTTCTAATGTTCATAGCAATGTAGCAGGAAAAAACCTAATTTAGGATTTCCCTTTCTCATTTTTTAATTTCTCCAGCTCCTATCTTGCAAATATTCTTTTTTCAATGAAAAGAAAATTTATCCTGGAATCTCTCAGGGTTTGTAGAAATTAGTACATCATTTCCACTTCTTTTTTTTAAATTAAAAAATTTAAAAAATTTTTAATTTTATGCATACGAGTAATTTGCCTGCATGTATGTAAGTGCATCTGTGTCATTCAATGTCCTCAGACATAGAAGACAGCATTCAAATGCCCTGGAACTAGAGTTATGGGCAGTTGTTAGTCACCATGTAGGTACTGGGAATTGAACCATGGTCCGCTGGAAGAGTAGCAAGTGTTCTTAACCACTGAGCCATCTCTCAAATTCCCTACTTCCGCTTCTTAGCTGGCCTGCAGGAAAGTCCTTTAAAGAGCCATTTCTTTGCTTAGAAAGTGAGTCTTTTCCCAAAGGCCAAAGCCTTCTGGAGACATTGAATTCAATCACTCGACCCAGGGACAGATTCAGAAAGGTTATATATGTATGAGTCAGATCAGGGTGGAAAAGTTTCTGATAAAATGTGGTATGTCAGTGGTAATTCATGGACAGAGAGAAAACACCACTTTCTCAATCACCAAATGTTTTTCAGGACACTTCACCACAGTTTTATCCCTAAGCATGTTCATCATCCCAGGATTATTTTCAGAGTTAAACCATAAATATGAACCCAATACTTACAACAGAACATTTTCAAAAGTCATGAGATCACGAGCTACCAAGAAGGCACCAAACCGGAAACAAGCAGCATAGGAAAAATACATCATTGCCTGGGTGAAGGAGAATGCGATCCCAAAGATCTGTGCTTTCTTCAGAGCATTTCTGTAAAGAGCAACCAAAAGTTACCCCGCTTCGTTTGTCAGTCATTAAATTGCTACTTATGATGGGTTGGCAGTGGGGCACACAAGCAGATTCCTGCTCTAAACAGTTAAACTTAATCCACACTTTATTACAGTTGTGGGGACTTAGGAAACTACCTTATCTCTGAGCCACAGTGCATCCATCTTTAATATAGGATGACTACATCTCAGTGGATTGATGTAAAGATAAACAGAAACTATAACTCTGTAAAGAGCTTCATTTACATTAATGAATGTTCTCGGCACTTATTAGAGCTGTCCCTGATACTGCTGTGCTAAAGAAAGAAGAGACGGTCTCTACTGGAGAAGAAAGGAACAGAATGCATCCTCGGGAAACACCACTTCTCAGTGTCCCTGGACACCTCCAATTCCATGTTCCATAAACAGCCTTCACCTTAACTACAGCAGAGTCATTATCCGACTGGTCTTCAGCATCATTACCAACGCCCTCTCCATGCTGCCCACCCCCGACTCCCATCACCAGCCTTCACCAGGTCTACCTCACAGATGTCCCTGCCTAAGCTCAGGTTCTCTCATTTCTCTCTTGGATAATCTCAGGTGATTCCCAACTGATTCCTTTCCAGAACTTTCTTCGCTTTCACTCTACCTCCTGGCTAAGGCAATCCTGAAAATAAATCTGATTGAACACTCCTCAGACTCCCCTCCTCCTACTCTTCAGGGGTTCTTACCTGTATGGGACCTGCAAGCTCTGGGCATACATGTTTTCAAACTTCTGTTCCCGAGTCAAAGAAACGACAGTTCGGAAGTTTTCTATTGCTTCAGTAGCAATCTGCAACAGATCAAGCACAGGTCAAACAAAGGCAATTCATAAATACTATATACTATTTAATAAAATTAACCTATCATAGTGTATTATTTATTTAGCATTTAGGCTTATGTTTGAATATCTTCTCTATGAAAAAGAATAGTAATTTATGATACTGAATTTTAGAAGTTAAGAGAAATCCAGTAACTTAACCTTACCCTCTTTTCACAAAAGGCAACTAGGACATGAAAAGATGATGCACTTGCCTAAGCCATAGAGCTGTACAGACTTGACAACTTAGCATGTTATATCTTTTGTAGTACTGTCTTCTATGATGATGATGTTTAACATTTATTGTTACTTTACAGATTTTTGAAAATATGATATTTATACTTTTTTGATGTGTAATGGTCACTCATGATAACTCAATAAAGTTTGGGAGATATTGAAAAGGTAAAGAATGAAAGTTACATATTCATGTATTTTACATATTTTTTTTCTAAGCATACAAATCTTTAACAAAAAATTGAATTCTATATTTTACTACTTACCTTTTTTTTGGCTTACTAGTATCAAGAGTATTTTTCATGCTCATTAAATACATATTAATGAGTTTTTCATTGATACTTAATATCATGGCCAGTTAGATATTACTGGCAATATTTTCTTATTAAAAATAATGTTCTGATAAATATCCTAGTACATAAACACTCATAGTGAATTACTTTCTTAGGAAAAGTTCTTAAAAATGGTATTAATAGGTAAATGAAAATAAACTTTTTTAAACAAAAATGATAAATCAATTTTTTTCAAGGAAGTTTCTTTCATTAAATTGTGTTCTAATTGCATGTTATTCCCTCCAAGGCTATTTAATTAGGACCATACAGCCTTTATCATCTTTTGTATTCTTGGGAAAGGGTGTGAAGAATGGAAAGAACACCCAGTATATACAGAGACTTCAGCCAGTGGGACCTTTTTCTGATACAGAAATGACTCTAAACTTGGTTCAGAGAAAGAAGCAAAACAGAGAAGGTGGGTAGGTGGCAGGATGGCAGGAAGGAGGGGAGGGGACTGGATAGAACAGGGAAATGTGAAGACAACAGCCTGAAACCAGAAAAGCCATGAAAAGCAGGTGGCAGTCTTTGAGCCTCGGGATGTGTTTCCCACTTTTCTTCAAATTCTAATCTTTTGATAAGTACTATATTTGATAGTATTATCTTTGATAGTAAGTATTGCCTGAAATGTGGTTATTAAAATATTGTCATAGACTGGGGAGCTAGCTCAGTTGGTAAAGAGCTATCCCTGAGTTTGACCCCTAGAACTAAGAAAAAAGAACAGCTCAGCTTGGCATGGTGGCACATACTTGTAATCCTAGTGCTGGGGAAGCAGAGACAGGGACTCACTGTCCAGTCAGTGAGGAGAGCCTGCCTCAAAAAACTAAACACCCAAGTTTGTCCTCTGATCTACCTACAACATGCACACACAGGAACACACATACACACAACTGTCAGAGCATAGTGATAGGCATAGAGAGTAACAAAACATCACTGATAAGAATATTTTTCCTAATTATGTAAGCAATTATATTTATTTTGACTCACCTTTCCAGACCCTTCTAGTTCTTTCTTATCTTTTAGTGCCTGTCCAGACAACATTTTCATTTCAACAACTCCTGCTATTGCGATGATGGGTACAATTGCTAAGAGTAAAAGTGTTAGCTGCCAGCCATAGACTAAGGATATGATGATTCCTGTCCCAAGATTTGCTATATTTTGGGCAATGACAGCAAGCCTGGAACCTGTAGCCTGAAAAACACAAGAAATTAGAGACATGTCTTTTTTTTTTAATATTTAAAAAAACTTTTTTAGAGAAGCATTTCATTACAGCTTTAACATACTCAATAACAGTTTCCAAAGCAAAGATACATCTCTTTCAAAAGTGGCTATAAAACTTTTAGGTTCGCTGTTGTATTAATGCAGTTATACAATATTGAACTCAATATAAGCCCTGTAAGACATAAAATTGACACATCTTTTAATGTCTTTAAATACATATTAGATATTTTTATGGATTGTAATTCATTTTCATGGAAATCTTCTCACCTATAACATAAAAGCAAAGGTATACTTGTAAGAAATTTTTGGCTTCTAAAATTAATATTTCCATGAATTATCAATGCTTAATATAGCTCAATAACCCAAAATTTAATTACATATTTCTCTCTATTCTGATTTTTCAATCTGAAGAAAATCATTATGCATCAAAGCATCGCCACTAAAGCAAACTCATCAATCAGCATGCTGGAAGAGTCTGAGAATTATACTAAACCAGGAGCGGTGGATGTTTCCAAAGTTAGGCATAAAACTGCTTATTTAATCATTAACTGCTTAATTTATCATTAAGGATACTTAAATATATCTGGGCCTATTGAAACGCTTATTTTCTTGGCTTTAATTTAGAAAAACTATAGAGTTGAAAGGTATGGAAGTTAGTCTATAGCAAGGAGAACCCTCTGTTGGAATGCTGGAGGGTACTGATGCATGGCTTTTAGTACTGTGATTCTCAACAACATACCTGCAGTTAATTTAGTCAATCTAGTATACCTTTGTGTAATGTAGTACACCATATCTCTTCTATTTGAGAACAACAGCACCCTACAGCATCTCTGTGCTAGAGAGTCTCTCCAGGTTGCTTTCTTTGATCTTCACATTGAAAATGTGCAGATAGATAGATTTTTCAGGCCCTGTATTCTTTGACCTGTGCCAATGCCCAGCTTGGCAAACAGTGTCTTTATTATAATCTCAGTAATTGACCCCAAATCAGCAAATGCAGTTTATTATTCATGGTATGTCTTTCAGTCTTGTTTTAGTTCCCTGCTAAGGAATTTAATGCACATAAAGGCACCTCATAGCTGTGGCACCTTTTCCCTCATTAAATCCCAGTCTACTGATTATATCAGATGGGTTATTAAATAATGATGCTGGAACTGACATGTGAAGGATGGTGTCAGAATTCAGAGTGTAGGAGGGCTTTGGTTATTAATAAATGGTACTCCTCAGCTTTGGAGTTGGGAGAGATCTGTCCAAAGTAATGAAGATGGCAATGGGTATTCTAGAGACCAGCCTTGCTCAAGCAGAAAAAATTAAGGGTGATAGAATGCATGGGCTGTTTGTAGAATAAGCAGGTCTAGGGGCTGGAACAGGGATATGAAACAGTATAAGTCCCAGACTAATTCCAGATAGAAGAGATATGGAACTCATTTCCAACAGCAGCCACCGACAAAAGCACTTAAGAGCATCTTCCTGCTACATAACCTTTTAGCCATATGCAGATCCTGCTTTGGACCACAGAAATAATTAAGATGGTTCCAAAGATGATAAATCCCTTTATATACAGGAAAAGTAAATATTTTAATTAAACAATTTTGACAAGTTAAATTTTATATAAAATAGAAACTAATAATTCAATGTCTTCCTCCTATTATGCCATTGCTCGCTCCCATTTTGCAGAAAGTCGTAACCTTGCATCCATCTGGAATACCTTTCTCTCTTTCCCTGTCTCTGAAGCTCATTCCATCAGACTTACAGTCCAACTATACCTCTGAAACAGTTCTTGTGGCAACCATAAACACCTCCACATCAGTGCACCATGTGAAGTTTCAAGCATCTTGTATCCTAGGTTGCTTCTCCTTACAGCACTCTCAGATTTGTTTGGAGGATATCACTTTCCTACCTCATTGGCCACTACCTCATTACGTCTCTCTATTTGCAGCCTGAGACCTCAGGACTCAGGACTTGCTCTCCACATATGATGTCATGGCCATCTCTTCATGGCTTTAAAAGCCACCACTGCATTAAAAGAGCCCCAAGTATTTCCAGACCAGACTTTCTAAGCTCCAGATATATAAAACTCCCTACCTTCTTGATCTGTCTATGTTTGTAATGTTGGCACCATAAACTTACTAAGACCCACACAGAACTCAGTTCTCTGCCAAGCTTAATCCTCCATCGGGATTCCTTTTTTTTTTTTAAGAACAACTCTACTTGTCAATTGTGCAGGACAAATATTTTAGTCACTTTTCATCTTATCCTTCAAATCCTTCAACTAATCTAAGCAACAAATTCTGTAGACTGTACCTTTAAAATATATCCAGAATCAGCTACATTTTGTCACTTTTAGTATGTCCACACCACTGTCCCAGAACCCTATCCTAGATTATGGTAATAAATTCTCTACCTCTGCCTATTTACATAGCAGCCATGTAACTCCCACATTCAAAACCCAATGATGTTTTCCTCTCCAATTCTGCATACAATGATTAATAAATGTGACTCTTCCTTTCACGTTCTTCTAGCATTGCTGTCCTACTAGCTGTGAGAGGTATGGATGTTCTACCCCCAGGGCCTTTATGCTTGATCTTCTTATTAGAACACTCCTTTGGAGGTCACAGGAACACCACCTTTCCTTCATTCTGGCCTCTCATTTATACCACATCATTGAAGCCTTCTTTCCTTGATAGTGAGGCAGCACTTGGTCCCTATTCTCTTCCCTTCCCCCCAATCCCATACCTTTTAACAACCTGACCTATTGTGTAGATTCCACAAGAGCAAAACCACTGATTATTTTGAGGAAGTTCAAAGTTATTTCATTCAGTGTGCATTTTTCTCTCTTAAGTTTTATACATCTGTGTCTAAATCAGCAACTTTGTTACTTTTTTGCTTTAAGCAAAGAGATCAGCAGTAATTCTTAAGATTTATTCTATAGTTTTGTGATTCTCTGTGTTTTTCACATTCATAACTTAACTTCTCCATAGGCGCTATTTATTAGTAGAGATGACTGGTGTAATACGGCCTTTCAGGAAGTCTGAAACAATACTGATAAGGCTCAAGATGAAATCACACAGCAGAGACCATATGCCTTTGAAGTTCCACACCACATTGTAGATTTTTGCCATAAAAATTGTCTCTGTAGAGAAAACTGCCACTTCATATGAAAAGCAAAACTTGAGAGTTCAACATTTTCTATTTCTATCAATTATATGTTCAGGTAACAACAAAATTTAAGTTATAGCCTAATATTTCTTTCTGCCTATGCTGTAATTTTTTATGTGCTTTGCCTTTCCTTCTTTCCATTTATAAAAATATTTTCATCTTTCCTACTGAATTGTAATGTCCCTTACATTTCAGACAGAAACTACACTATCCTCTTTTTTCAACATCAATTACAATTTTCTATAGCTTAACTAAGCATTAAAACCAAACTGATCCTGAGATATGCTAAGAATATTTCCTATTCTCAGTAACTAGTCTATACACTATATCTGTACATTATATGGTATATAATCTTTAAATTTTGACCTATTTGCTATAAAGTATGTGATACATTTGTGGATTAGATAGATAATTACATTTTCTTTAAAATGATCATAACACATGAGTATGAGAAAATCAGTCTCATGCAAAGGATAACAACAGAATTAAGATGGACATCCACAGATAAAAAGGCACATACCCCTTTAACTTGAGCAGCATCATTGGCGAGCCTGGTGGTCAATGCTCCAGTGGTATTTTTAGGGTTATCAAACCAGCTCACATCCTGTCACACAAAGGGATTCATTTGTCTTAAAGTTCTATTTATGAGACTTTTACCTCCAGGAGGAAAGTGACACACACAGTTTTGTTTAGCATTTCTGTCCTCTGCATTTAGCATTCAGGATGTAACAGTCAACAGAGAAGAAAAGGAGTTAAAACACAAACACAAAAACAGATCACTGCATTTGACAAAAATGCTTCTTAATCTCATCTTTCTTCAAAGCCTGATTCTAAGTGTTGCACAATGAGCAGTAACAACAAGGTTGTTGCTATCATCAAAGTGTCCTTCTAGAGATAAAAGACACACAGAAATAAGCATTCAGTGTCTTAGGTGGTAATAAATAAGAGGGAGAAAAACATAGCAGGGTAAGAAGGACAAAGAAGTAAGGGACAGGCTGGAGAAGGAACAGAGGAGGCCTTTCTAAGGTGACATGTGAGCAGACACTCAAATGAAGGCAAGATGAGGACGTCCAGGGAAGGAAGATACAGCACTGGCAAAGGCCCCAGGGTGAAGGCACACTTCATCTGCTCACACAGCAGCAAGGAAGCCTTACAGCCTGCCACTTGCCTAAAAAGACACACTATGCTTGTCTCTTAACCTGCGCCTTCCTCTGGACACCTCTGTCCCGTGGTTCCCAGATCCTCTCTTCTTCCACCTTTTGTAGTTAACTATGTGGGGAAGATACCATGTGCTGGATTAGGGTGATATGGTAGATGACCTCTGCGAGGTGGGATGGGGCATGCACATCGTACACGGCCTTTGGTAACTGTAAAGACACAGATGTTTCCCTTAGAGATAGATTCTGGTAGTTTCCAGATTGGGATGAGGATGGAGGTAATGGAAGCAGCTAGGAGGCTGATGCAATATTAGAGAGAGGGGAGTATTCAAAGCCTGAACAACTGCTAGTGATGTACAAAGATGAGGTAAGGAGTAAGCCTGATGAGAGAGGAGTCACAAGTTCCAAGTTTAGAAACATTAAAAAAGGATTTTCTTGGTAAAACTTATATTTTCACATTTTTAAACTTTGTGTGTGTGTGTGTGTGTGTGTGTGTGTGTGTGTGTACACATACTACCATGGCATATGTGTAGCAGTCAGAACAACTTGTAAGAATTGGCTTAGCACTAAGCAACTTTAATGACTGAGACATTTCACCATTTTTTTGATCTTTTTAAGAAAGGGTCTCCCTGCAACCCCAGGTGGCCTGGAACTCACTATGTAGACCAGGCTGGCCTTAAACTCACAGAGATCCACCTGCCTCTGCCTCCGGAGTGCTAGGATTAAAGGGGTGTGCCACCATGCCCAGCAAACCTCAAAATTTTTAAATAAACACATTCTGATTTTAAATTATAAATTTATATCTGTCACAAATAGCTTTGGTTTCTAAGATGCTACCTGAATTGGAGATTTGCATTAAAGAAGTAACTCATTTTCATTTTAAAAGTTTAGGAAAATGAACTATCATAATTCATTATACTCTATATCAACTTACTTTACAGTAAGACTCAAGTACTCAAGTGCTTCCCCATTGAAATGTGATTTCCTTGAGAACAGAGGCCATTCAGATTTGAATGCCTTGCAATACTTAATGCTATACTTCATAAGCAGTGGCTTTGATATATTTTATCTACTGAACAATCTGTACAGAGGGCACCACACACCATCCACTCAACTCCCAAAGTGTAATGGACCTGGGAGTGAGCCTGGAGGCTAGTTGGGTAATGGGACATTTGCTGCACCAAGGTCAACCTTGAGAATTTAAGTGCAATCTTGGTTATAAATATGACTTGAAAGCCTATAATCCAACACTTGGGAGGGCGAGGTTGGAAAATCAGGAGTTCAAGGATAGGTTCAGCTACATAGAGAGCTTGAGACCAAACTGGGCCGTATGACCCTGTCTTAAAAACAACAGCTTGACAGGAGAGTCGAAGGACAAGAACTTCCATCAAGCAGTGCTCTCTCATTCATCTACCATGACTATCCCTAGCTAGCTATTTCTACAAATGCATTTTTAAGTGGTTGTGGACAGGGTGAGAAAGGACTGTCTTCTGAAAATTCAAACATAAGAAAGTGATATTTCTTATCAAGATTTTGTTTTATTTTCCAGTGGTAGAGATTAAATGGGGTTTACAGATGCAAGGCAACAGCTCTACCCCTGCGCTACATCTCTAGCCTTGTGGGGCAGGTACATGCATCTAACCTGCAGCACATAAGTCTCATGCATTCCAGGATTCTATTAATGTGGTTCAACATATATGTATATAACAACATCCAGTCATAATGTTAAGAATCTAGACGCCGTTGTATTTGGGGCATTATTTTATGCAGGCAACTAGTAATTTGGGGGTCACATACAATATTTTTATGATTGCTAAAGTTTCCCACCTTGAATTGGGCTGCTCTAGCCCATTCTCTTTTCCCTTTCTAATAAAAACATTGACAATGTCATTGTTAGGGACCTGAATGTGCACAATATAAAAGGCATCATATTAAGCCATGACCAGCTAATAACAATGTAGTTTGGGTTATTATATTACTCTTGCCGCAGCAAAGAGACTGGATAGGGAGGAATGGGCCATGGAGATGAGTCTGAATTTGGGCAGGAAAGGTGTAAAGGGTCTCTAGGTATTGAGAGTCATAAAAGAATGTCCTGGGTATACAGGAGAAAGAAGGCAACAGAGGGACAAAATGAGGGGTATAGACAATCAATCCCTTCTAAGACTTATCAGGAATTTGGATAACATGAAGTATAGAGAATTACTTTGGCTCCATGGCCTCTCATTGCTGAGACAAAAATGCTGGAGGAGAACCAAGTCAGGAGAAACTGTTTAACTCAATCCAGTCTAGGTCCTGGTGCCCACCTGTGACAAATAGACTTTAGAGCTTCATTCAGATGAAGTTGAGGGATGGCCAAAATGGGGGCTCATTCTGAACAACCTGATAGGGCTCCTACAACCTGGGTCCATGGAGCACAAGAGGGAAGTCCTCCTCACCCCAGAGTGCATACCTGTCTCAGCATGGATTTGAAAACCATGTATCGAAGCCGCTTGGTGAGGATCTCTCCAGCTTTGCCAAATGTGAAGCCCTGTGAAGAATGAGAACATGTCATACAAAGACTCATGAGAGATCCAGACACCAGTTACACAACATGATGGGGGTCAATGTTATGGCTAAGGCAGGATCTAGATGAAGTCACAGTCTCATTTCCTGTATTTGTTGTGCTTCTGTGACCCTGTGCCATGTGTGTTGCAAGGTGACCCTGCCACTGCAGTCAGCTGCAGGCAGATTACAGATTTATTATAAATGTGTTCCTTTCCCTTTGATTACTAGCTCTACTTCCTTTCTCAGTGAAGAGTGGTCTGTCACTCAGAAAGCTGCTGTTCTCAAGGTAGGGGAACTCAAAAGGGGATGGTTATGATGTGCATCATCTAAATTGGAACGTGCAGTGTAACTGCACATTGGGATACTTGTGAGAGGTACTATTAATACCTATTAAAAGGGTACTATTAATAATTAAACAAGGAACAGAAGTATACTCCAGGAAAACAGGAATTTACACTCACTCAATCACAACAGATGTCAAGAAAAAAGCTATCACATATTTTAGCTTTCAAGTTGAAAAATCCAATGTGTGTGAGCAAAACAGGTTGAGGAACATTGTTCACTGATAAAGAACCTCTTGCACTCCACCTCCCTATCTTTCAAGGCTATAATCTCTTGGGGTCTCAGAGGAGACAACAGAGTGATTGGGAAAGATGTGACTATACTGTGAGTATCCTACTGTGTTAGGTCACATCCAGGAAGGAAGGACGGACAATCATGGTTTCACTCCAAAGAGCTTGGAGACAGTAGACTAGAAAGACAGTGCCCACATTTCCACATGAAATTGAGTAGCGGCAACCCACAGATAATGCCTGCCCCATAAAAGCCAGGGAAAGCCGAGTAAAAAAGGCTGTGTGGTGCCTCAGAAGAGGAGGGGCCCTGATGCCATTCCTGTATCTCCTGCAGTATCAGAGAAGTTGAAAAGGGCAGTCATGCATTCTTTTGTCCTCCCAAGTAGCATGCTGTGTGTTACTGAAAGGATGGGAGGAAACCTATGTAGCAGACACAAGCCAAGACCAAATCATTTTCCATGTGCTCAGGAAAAGGGGACCATGTAACTAAAGACCAGATGGAGGCATAAACTACTTAGATGGCCAGTATAAAGGAGTACATAGTGTCATAGTGACCATAGTCCTTCACTCAGTGCTACAGGGCCTTCTGAAATACATATTATATACAGGAAAGTCGAGGAGATGGTAAATTCCTATGTTAAAAAAGGATAAGCCTACACTTTCTAATTGAGTTCCCATGGAAACATCACAAGAGTTTTCTGCTTTGGACCAAATAGAATGTGGAATGTATTTTCTCACTTCAGAAAAACTAGTTTTTCTTTTCTTTTTTATTTATTGATGAGAACTAACTACTCTGCCACTATAGATTACATACATGACCTTATTAAGTCCTATGGACAACTCTAAAACTGCCATGCCTAAGAAGAAACTGAAGTTTAGAACAGCTGATAAGTTGCCTGAGGCCCCAGCTTAATAATAACAGAGCTGGAGTCTGAATCAAGGCCTACAAGAGTCCCGAGCAGGATGGGCCCTGCATTCTAAGCTGTCTCGAACTAAGCTCCCTGCCCGATTCTCAGAGGAGCAGCTGCACATTCCACAGTTATAGGCACTTCGCTGTGTCTACCCTTCTAAGTCTAGGGAAACAATGACTCTTCTTGGTGTTGTTTGGCAGTCATGGAAGACTGTCTCACTACCATAGCAAGGTGGTCAAGGAACTGCTTCTACTCTTGGTGCTTCATCATCCCAATTGTCCAAGCAGGAGCAAGCAACTCTACACCAAGAAACTGTGCCTTCTCCAAACACCTGTGATGCTTTGTGAGCAGGCAGTATTCCATTTTATTCTAGCAAGGTAAAATTTCACAATGAGTCCTTTAAGTATTTATTCATACATTCTTAGAACGTGTTAAATAAAGATGTCTATTTGTTTTAGCTAAAAAAGAAAGTACAAGTGGCTGGCTAATTATTGATTCATTCAATAAGTGATTATTTATTTACTCAATGAACAGTTATTTGAAGCCTCAGATTAGCCCAAGGACTTGGTCACATGATCTCTCCTAATTATCCAGAAGTAATATTTCCCCCCCCTTTTGGGGGGGGTCTTTTTTGAGACAGGGTCTCCCTACAGCCCCAGCTGTCCTGGAACTCGCTATGTAGACCAAGCTGGCCTTGAACTCAGAGATCTGCCCATCCCTGCCTCCTGAGTGCTGGGATTAAAGGCGTGCACCACCATGCCTGGCTATTTCCCCCTGTTTTATAGATATGAAAACTGAGGCTTAGACAGACTAAATTATTTTTGTGCCCCTGGAAGCATAATTGAGTATTTGTGAAAGTGATTTTCAAACCTATGTCTAACATCAACACCCACACTATATACCATCCCCACACTACACTTTGACAGCATGTAATTCCTTTGCAATTGAATTTGAGCCAAATGATTTGCAAGCTGCAAATCATGTTATACATGTTTCCTTTGGGATTTTTAAGACCGACATTCTCCCATTCCTAAAAGAGGTTTTAATTGTTCCCTTTGTAAGAGCAGAATGATGAAATTTTGAAACCATTTTAAAATCATTGTGTGACCCATTTGGGGAGTTTTTATTTGTTTTGTTTGGGGTTTTCGTTTTGTTTTTTGACTCTAAGAAGATATTTCTCTGATTATTCAAATTGACCAACAGTATTTACATCCAAACTTATATCCAACATCCATATCTGACTTTACAGCTTCCATTTCCATATTAGATCTAACGATCCAATCAAGATGATTACATTAATGTTTCCATTTGGGGAAGAAAAAGTAAGGACATAGTCAGAGAATACACGTTAACCTGGCTGTTACTGGCCACATTAAACAAGGAACAATTCTACTAAAAGGAAAATTACATAGATGTTTACAAATTCACCCCAAATGAATGAGGTAAAAATAAAGAAATTTACCTGAAGGAAAAATGTAATAAAAGAAATAATTCCAATGACCAGAAACAATATGCAATACAAGTTACTGTTCTGCCGTTTGGTTTCAGGATCATCATCTCTTGTAAAAACCTGTGAGATAATATTTGAAGGGTTATTAGTTCTATCACTGAAGAAGGTATTCTGTACCTGTCCCATTCCCCAAGGTACAGTTTCAGGGGTGAGGAGGGAGAGCATTTGTATACTGGAACATGGCTGGCTTCTGGAATAACATCAATGTCTAGAGCATCTGCATTCTGCCTTTCTTAGAGACAGAGGGGTCTGTTGTTCACAAATTCCTGGGGGCTGGAGAGATGGATAAGTGGACAAGAGCACTGGTTGTTCTTGCAGAGGACCTGGGTTTGATTCTGAGCACCCATATGGTGGCTAACAATTGTAAGTAACTCAGTTCCCTCTTCTGACCTCCGTGGACACTGCACAGCACAGGTGCACTTCCATAAAAGCAGGGAATATACTCAGAAACGTAAAATTTAAAAAATAAAACAATTCCCCAACATCCTTTCATTCATGTTTTCCTCTTAGAGGAACAAGTGCCATACTACTATGTAAAGAAGTACAAACAAATGCTCTCCTTTCGAATTTCTTGGTAAGGAACTGTATGATACCTCTCTCTCTCTCTCTCTCTCTCTCTCTCTCTCTCTCTCTCTCTCTCTCTGTGTGTGTGTGTGTGTGTGTGTGTGTGTGTGTGTGTGTGTACATGTGCGGAGACGTGCGGTATCGTGAGTACCATTTTACATCATGCCAAAACCAGTGGGTCCAGCTGATCTTAGATTGAAAACTGAAATGTAAGCTGAAATAAGTCACACCTTCTGTTAAATTTCTTCTTTCAGAAAGGGACATGGTAACACATGCCTGAAATTTCAGGTACTTGGGAGGCTGAAGCAGGAAAATTTCACGTTCAAGTTCTGCCTAGGCTATATTGCAAGCTTTAGACCAACCTGGGTAACTGAGCAAGTCCTTGTCTATAAATTAAAATAATACAGGGGCAAGTAGTAGCTCAGTGGTTTAGAACTTGCTGAGCATATGCAAGAACCTGGGCTTAATCCCTGTAGCATGAAAAAAAAAATCTCTTAGGTATCAATCATAGAGATGAATAACTAACAGGGAGCTGGGTTTTTTTTTTTTCTTTTTTCTTTTTTCCGATTTTAGACTAAGAAAGGAATATAGTGTGTAGGTGTGGTCATCTCCTGGCCAGTGTATGTGTTATACATCAGCTCATTATCAACCCAGTCTAACAAACATACTTAAAAAGCTGCTTTGCAGATTGACGGGGTGACAGTTCATGGCTTTTGTTTAGAGCTCAATGTTAGCAAGTATGAAAAAGTGAGTTCCCCAGTTTCATTGACTTATTTTAGTGAGTGGGTGTCCATGGCCCTAGAATAGAAACTATCATACATCTGGAAAGAAACCTAGACAAAAGAAATGCTTAAAAAATTGTTGTTCCTCTTATAAACCAAACTTCAATTACTATATTTCAAGCATGTAGGTTTCATGTGAAGGGAAATTTTTTTATGACATATATACTATTTAAAACAGTTCATTCAGTTAAAACATAGTAAATGTAAAAAATGGATATGATCACTTACCCCTACAACTCTAGAAAATATTACTGAAAATGTTGGCTGCAAGGCTCCATTTATAATGGCACAAAGCACACCAACCACAAAATAAGGCCATTCGGTTGAATTCAGCTTTAGGATCCTCCAAAAGGAAACAGGCGGTACATCTTCACCCTAGAAAACATAAAACATTACAACAAGATATTATTTCAAGAAGGATTGTCACTGATTTTACTATGTATAGTTCTTTCATGGGTACAAAGGTTTTTTTTGTTTAGTTTTGTTTTTGAGGCAGGGTCACATTTATTTCAGGTTGGCTTTGAACTAACCACGTAGCTGAGGCTGATCTTGAACTTCTGATCCTCCTACCATCACTTCCCAATGGCTAGGCTTATAGAAGTGGCACAAAGTTTTTAAATATATATTTATTCTATTTTTATTACTTATCAGTTGATGGATCGTCAGCTTCACATACTACAACAACACATTATAGTACCATTTTACATTTTAAGAAATGATACTTCCATAAATATTTATCTTGGCTTGCCATTCAAGAATATTTACAAGTAAGGATAAACAGAACAGAAAATTTAATATTTAATGACACACTGTAGTCTCTTTACATTACAAATTCTATATCTAAAATCTTTTTACCCTTATCCTATTAATTCTTATCCTTGAATTCTAATCTGACTATAAGATATTGCCATTTAGGTTTCTGGAACTCTCTGGAGAACCACACAAAAGGATTCTAGAAAATAAATTCTTGTTCCCACTCCTTTGTCAGCCTGAGGCTTAAGGGGAGGACTGGGGCTGAACATTACATCGGTCCATACCAAGGCATCTTTCATACTCAGCTTCCTGTCCTGGTCTTGTCCACGGACACTTCTGCGAGTTGATCTTCTTTTTATTAAACTGGATCCTGAATCTTTTGAAGCCATGTCTAAATTATCAATTTCATTTTTGGATTCGCAACCTTCACTTTCTAGCTCAATTTCATTTCCTGCTGTCTAAAATAAATAAGAAACATTCATAGTTGATTTAAGCCCAAACAGTGGAAATTAATCATTGAAAATCAGTATAAAAGAAATTAGTAATTTATTTGAGTTGAAGAAAAGAATGAAATTAAAGTACTATTCTTTTTTATGTGAAGTTAGAAAATAAACATTAAGCAAAGTTTTTTTCTGAATATGCTGAAATAAAATGGCAACCCTTCCATGTAGCTTCTCAAGTCATTTCTTTCCTGGGGATATGTGGTTCAATCAAGTTTGCTTTTAAACCATCATGTGAATAGAAATATTGTGTAAGCCATAAAGTGAGCCATACTTGTCATTTAAACTTTTAGAGCAGCTACATTTAAAAACTGTGAAAAGGGGCTGGAGAGATGGCTCAGAGGTTAAGAGCACTGGCTGCTCTTGCACATGACCTGGGTTCAGTTCCTAGCACCCACACGGTGCTAGATGACAAAAACTCCAGTTCCAGGGTATCCAATGCCCTCTTCTGACTTCCACAGTAATTGCATGACACAGGTGCACTTACACACATGCATACACATTAAAAAAATTATCTGGAGAGATGGCTCAGCAGTTAAGAGCACTGGTTGTTCTTGCAGAAGATCTGGGTTCAAATCTTAGGACCTACATGGTGGCCAATAACTATCCATTACTCCAGTTCCAAGGTATTCGATGCTCTCTTCTGTCCTCCATGGGTATTGCACAACATGGATACACTCACATGTAGGTATAACACTTATACACATAAAATAAAAATAAATAAGTCAAAAAAATTATGAAGAACCCTTACCCTGTATAAAAATCAATTCAAAATGCGCCAAAGACCTGGATGTAAGACCTGAAATTTAGAAGCTTCTAGAGAAAAACAGGTAAAATACTTCAAGACAGAAGCATAATCAAAAGCTTTCTGAAAAGGACACCAATAGTTCAGAAAATAATGTCAAGAGTTGACAACTGACATGGTATAAAATTTTTAAAACTCTGTATAGCAAAGCAGTGAAGAGACAAGCTACAGAATAAGAAAAAAGAATCTTTGCCCGCTATATATCTGATAGGGGCCTAATATCTAGAATCTATAAAGAACTCAAAGATTTAAACACATGAAAAATTATCTGATAAATAAATAGGAAAATGAAACATACACTTCTCAAAATAAGAAATAAAAATGGCAAAAATAGATTAAAAAGTGGTCACACTCTGTTCTAATTTGCTTGCAATTGCTATGACAAAACACTCTGACCAAAACCAACTTGGGGAAGAAAGGGTTTATTTGATTTATAAGCACAGCCCCTCATCAAGGGAAGCCAAGGCAGGAACTCAGGGCAGTAACCTGGAGCACAGACCATGGAGGAAAGCTGCTTACTGGCTTGCTCCTGAGGCCTGTGCTCTGCCTGCTTGCTACACAATGCAAGACCAGCTGCCCCAGGGTGGCACCGCCCACAGTGGGCTGGGCCCTCCCACATATTGAACAATCAAGAAAATACCCCAAGGATATGGCCACGGGCCAGTCCAATGGAAGCAATTCCCCAGTTGAGGCTCCCTCTACCTGGGTGTGTCAAGTTGACAACTAAAGGGATCCAGCACACATTCTTACTTATCAGAAAACTACAAATCAAAACTACACTGAAGCTTGGGAAGATGTTCCATTGGTAAAGTGCATGCCAAAAAAGTTAGGGAGAAATAAGAGTGCCTTGTGAGTGATGGAGGAGGGAGGCTAGAGGAACCTCTTTAGTCCTCTTGGGGAGTCTTGGACAATCTCCAGAACAAAGGAAAGGTCTTACTTTTTATAACTTTTTAGGAGTGGTGGGAAGTTTCACATCATGTGGTTTAGTACAGCACAGTGTGACAATGAGCATGGAGGACCAGGACCATACACTAAGAGCTTTCAAGCTAGTATGGTGGACAGGTCAAGTTCATTTTTTATTTTATTTTATTATTTTATTTTACGTGCACGCATGTATTGCCTGCATGTAGGTAAGTGCACCTGTGTCATGCAATGCCTGCGGAGGTTAGGAGAGGCTGTCGGATCCCCTGGGACTGGAGTTACAGACAGTTGTTAGCTGCCATGTGGGTGCTGGGATTCGAACCTGGGTCTTCTGCAAGAACAACCAGTGTTCTTAACCACTGAGCCATCTCTCCAGCCCCCATTTTTTTTAAAGCGCTTCTTAACTCCCTATCCCAGAGAGAGCTGCAGGGCAGGATGACCTGATTCAGGATATGGAATCAGGTCTAACGCTGTAGGCCCAAGTGCTAAAATGCCCCAAGTAATTTTCTCCTTCTTTTCAAAATAATCCAATCAAGTATTATTTATATATAGCATTAAATGCAACAATAACATTTTATGACCAAGATAATTTAGGAAAATTCTAGAGTTCCACTGCACCTGTGTTGTGACAAGTTTGAAGTAAATGCCTTTCTCTTTCATGAGTTCATCATGATTTCCTTTCTCAACAATGATGCCATTGTCAAACCCAGCGATGACATCTGCATTACGAACTGTAGATAAGCGATGAGCTATCACAATGGTGGTCCGACCTTCTCTAGCCTGGAGAGAGAGAAATCTGGCTTTGAAACATGAATAATTATGGTAAAAACTTATTCAACTTATGCTTAATGAACACTAATGTTTCGAACCCTGTAAAACCATCAATGAGGATAGCATCTGGCTTAAGTAGGGTGTAATTAACTGATAATAGTGTAAAATAATATTTTATTATAATAACTACAAAAACAAACAGCATTTTCACAGTAATGTCATTTATGCCTATATTTTACTTAATACCTATCATCCTAAATTTATAGTACTAATCAAGACTTTATAGAAGCTGAGTGTGGTGGCACATGCCTTTAATCCTAGCACTCAGGAGGCAGAGGTAATTGGATCTCTGTGAGATCGAGGCCAGCCTGGTCTACATAGTGAGTTCCAGACCAGCTGGGGCTACAGGAGAGACCCTGTCTCAAATGAAATAAAACAAAACAAAAACAAAAAAAAGAAGCTTTAGAAAACCCTGCAGTTGGGGCATTCACCAAAAGAAACAAACCTAAGCAAAGTGCTATGATGGTGTACACCAGCACTGGTATACAGGATTAGCCACTGGATAATGGTAGTGAATACTTAGAACAAAAATAAAGACCAAGGCACTCCTGCCCAGTGTCCTGACATCAGAATATAACCAGCAATACCCTGGGAGCAGGCAGTCCACACCAATCAGGAGTAAAGCCCAAAAGTCTATAAGAACAAGATAAACCCCAGAAGGGCCATAAAAACCAGACTCCAGGCAGCACAGCAGATGCTGGTTTCCAACCTACCTCAATGTACATGAGCCAAATACTCTAGCAACAAAGGACTCTTCCAGTAACCCTGTCTCCCACCAGGATCTCCTTCCTCTGGCCTGTCTCTGACCTTGGTGACCACTGAGTGTCCACCCTGGTTGACCTGGCTAAGCACAACCGATGCCATGACTAGCTAGCCTCCACTGCTCTCAGGGAACATCACTCCCAAGAAGCATTTGATGTAGAGCCAGCACCCAGTCACTGTCCTTCCCCGACCAGGGGATGTGGACGTGGTGGCTTGCCATGCACTAGGCAATTGGATTTGCAACCCATTTCCATGCTACCACTATCCACTGTCTATGAGTAAATCCTGCCTCCGATTACTGGAGGCATCACTTAGAGACAGACTGTTAGGTTGTTAGATTCATTGCTGTGAGTCCCCCCCGCCCTTTTATATGTGAACAGTAAACCGTGCACTTGAAAAAGACACCTGACTATCTGCCTCTTTGTGACACATAAATCATGTTCAAGACAATAATCAAGACACAAATATGAGAAAAGCTTAGTTTAGTGCTACACTGACCTGAATTCAAAGCTTGGTTCTGCCATTTATGAATTCCAGGATTTTATCCAAGTCTTTTAACCTGTGTGTTGGGCTGAGTTCATCATATGTAAAATTGAGATACAGTAATCACTTCTTAGAATAACTGTGATGACTAAATAATGTAATGAATAGCTTAGTATTGTGGCTTTAAATAAAATGTTCAATAAATAATACTTGCTTATAGGCTAAAAACAGCTGTGTAAATGTTTTTAAATGTCCAGCCTCATTTTTAACTTAACGTGGAACAAACAGATCACAAGAATCTGTTGAGATTCTTTAACACTTGTAACTTTATTAATGCTTATGATTTCTCTCTGTAGTTCTTCAGCAATACAACTAAAAATCTAAAAATGCAGAGAGAGAGAGAGAAAGAGAGAAGGAGATCAGAGTCAACCAACAGAAGTAGAAAACCCGGAAGAGAAAATAAATACATGTGAGAAAAATTAGATAATAGAACTAGACAGTAGGGAAAAAATGAACCAATTCTTTGGGTATTTTATATTTTGGACTTTTTGAGACAGGGTCTCCCTGTAGCCCCAGCTGGCCTGGAACTCACCATGTAGGCCAGACTGGCCTTGCCTCTGCCTCCCAAGTGATGGGAGTAAAGGTGTGCATAACAATGCCCTGCTTGGATATTTTGTTTTTAAAAAATATTTATTATTTTAATTTTGTGTGTATGAGTGTATTGCCTGCATGTATGTAAGTGTACCCATGTTATGCAATACCTGTGAAAGTCAGAAGAGGGTGCTGGAACTGGGGTTATGGATGGTTGTTAGCCACTATGTGGATGCTGGGAATTGAACCCAGGTCCTTTGCAAGAGAAGCCAATGCTCTTAACCACTGAGCCATCTCTCCATCCACCCAATTCTTTGTCAAGAAACTAGGAGAATGTGAAATCTTTCTCAAAATTTATACTCTAACTCTGTAGGCATTGCACAACACAGGTGCACTTACATACATGCAAGCAAAACACAACTTAAAAAAAAAAATAAGAGTTTCTTGGCTGCTTGCTTGAGCCTGCACAACTCCCAGGGCTCTCTCTGACCGCAGGCCTCTCTCTCCAGGGTAAGTCGATTGTATGCTCTGTGCCTTGACTCCCCTAGTCCCATTCACCCTCCCATCTCTCCTTCCAGTCTCTCCTCCTAGCATGGATCCTGTCCCATTCCTTGTCTTGGTGCCCCAGACACTTAGAATTAGTGGGGAACCACCACTAATTCCTGATCCTTTGCATCCAGACCAACTCAGTTCCCTCTCAGGTCCCCAAGGGCACTGCCTCTGGGCCTGGCCCCGCCCTCACATCCCTCTGCTTCCTGGGCCTACATGACCCTCCAGCCTCTTTGCTGGACAACGGGGCTAACCTTTCCTCTTCCTGGTCCTTTGCATCCAGACCAACCCAGCTCCTCGGTGTAGTCCCTGGGAGCCCTTGGGGCCACTTCCCACTCCCATCTTCTTTCGCATCTCTGGTAGAACTGCAACCAGCTGCCCTAGACGATCATCTTTCCTGGGCCCAGGTCCCAGGCCAGTCCAACCCCCAAATTTCTGAGGCCAAAATATTCCCTGGAGGGATCCAGACCTTAGGAGAAAGCCTGAGAGCATCTGATCCTCATCTGACTTGGGCCTCTGTGGGAACTCTTGAAGAAAAAAGCAATCTGGCCACTCCAATATAAAATAAAATTTTCTTTCCCCTTTGACTATAATAGATATTTTAGTTGGGTATAGTAATCTGGGTTGGCATCTGTGGTCATTTAAAACTGGGAATACTTTGGTCCAGGCTCTTCTGGCTTTCATAGTTTGCACTGAAAAGTCAGCTGTAATCCTAATGGGTTTTCCTTTATATATGATTTGTTGTTTCTCTTTTGCAGCTTTTTGTACTGTCTCTTTGTTCTGTACATTTTGTGTTTTTACTATGATGTGCTGTGGAGAGTTTCTATTCTGGTCCTGTCTGGTGTTCTATATGCTTCTTGTATTTGTATGGGCATGT